CAAAAAGTATTTGATTTTTAATGTCTTTTCCTACTCCAAACAAACAATATTTTGCAATTGACATAAAGATAGACCCAAGACAATCCTACAGATAGAATAAATTAACATTCACTAATTGTTTACCATCATTATTTCTTCACATATTTCACTGATATTCAATGAACTAGAGATAATAATACATATTTTAAAATTCTCAACGAATTTGCTATAATTACTTAAAATAAACTGAAATTACTCAATTATTTAGCACCTCTTAACACAGGTGATTTTTTTCCCCCACAAGCAAGAATTACTTGGAATAATAATTTTGAAAAAAAGTAAAATCTATATAAAAACGGTCCCTCCAGTTTACAAAATTTTCATATCTTGTCTTGTGAATTATATCATATCTCAAAGTAAACTCTTTCTCCAATGGCAAAATTAGTTAAAATGGTTTGAATTGGGTCTTATGTAGATTACCTGTATTTCGAGACAGTATAAAGGGAACATTAAATGACCTTGCCTTTCTCTTAAGCCCTTTTCAACAGTCTTTGACAGGTAAGTTAATTCTACTTACAAATTATTTAATATATCACAATCTAATATTCAACTTTTATGGCTTTCATGGAAGTTACATTTGTATAAGGCTTAATCAGCATCATGTTTGTGCAAGTAAAAAGACAAACATCAGTGTCAATAAGGTGCGGATCTCAACAATCGTTTTGGAGGGGCCATCATAGATTTTTGTTTAATAACAAACATATTTGTTATTATATTATATATTATTTACGCACTGTATATATGGTACTATACAATACTATTGTTCAAATAATTACATAATTCAAACAAATATTTAAATCAAATTTTGTCAAAGGAAGGAAAATTAAAACTCGGCCTTTTGGAAGGGCCATGGCCCCTATGGTCTACACCTGGATCCGTTAGTGGTATCAATGTTATTATTCATTCATGCAATTCTTTACATTATGCATAGATTTAAAGGCTACTATCCATTCTGACTATTCATCTTTGAAGTGGTCTGAGAAGATCATAATTTAAAATAAATATCTAGCACTCCAGAGACAAGATACATGTCTTCTCCAAAAATATACTCTCTCTTTCAGTATTATTATCACCACCTATTTTACAAACTAATATTATCTGCAATGTTTTCACATGGATTTCTAAGACTTTTGCATTACACCATCCTAATTAAAGCAATCTACAGACAAAGAATTTAAAATGAATCAGAGCAACAACAAAAACTGCGTAAAATATGCACTGCATTCTGAATTTTGCTCACAAGAAAGATAATAAGAAAAGAATAACATTGATAGAAAATAAAGATATTTTATTACGAATTTATGATTTTTTCAATTTTTTTTCAGGTGTATTGTATGATGGACTATTTTTGTTTTCTACCTATCTCTCTCTCTCTGGTTAAGAGAAGATTTATGATACAGCCTTACATTTAGCATGAACTTCAAAGAGTTAAGGGTCTAGTGACCTATTTGTGTCCAGTCACTTCTGAGGATATCTTGGACCTATTGTGTTTTCCTTGGCCTACCTCCTCTTCCAATCCATACTTCACAGTCAGCTCAGAGAATTTGTCAGATTCATTCTTTTGAAAGAATCAAGAGAAGCTAAACCTTTCTTTCCTAATTCTTTTTCCAAAATAAGCTTTGAAGTCTTGAAATTACTCTTGGGAAATGTAAAGAATCCAAGACTTCAGGATCTCAAATTCTGAGAATTAATGTTTCTATTTCATATTCTTTGCAAATATATCCTTGACACACATCCCTTAACACATTGACAATTTTGAACAACCACTAAGAAAGGAAGATTTCCTTCACCTTCTATTCTTTCACATTTTTTATTCTTTCTTCTACAAAAACCATACACAAATTGTAGAACCCTGTAAGTTTTGATCTTGGTTTGCTATTTACATAAAGAACAATAAAATTAAAAATTATTTTTATATTCAAATGAGAAATTGTCATAATATAAGATAAACAATTCATTAAATTCACAAAAGAATATACATTATTCAAAGATGAATCTCTAGAATTACTTGGTTAAGATGCTTGACATTTTGTTTTTAGTTTCTCATTTATTTGTTTTTTACAATATTAAATAATATTTTTTATATATTTACTATGTTTTTAAGTACTCCATTCATTTGCTAGGCATAGACTATGGACTATACAAAGCTCTTGTACATTTGTATGAAAATATTTTCAAGTTTATTTTAACAGTGACATTCACAAAATACGCAGCATGTTTTTATAAATAGTGCATGCTTTCAAGACAAAATATTTTAAACTAAACAGACAGTAAAATACTGCTGACTTCTTCCTGTCAGCTTATCAATGTAGTACATGGAAAGGTTCTAAATTATTTTATCTTTCTTAAAATCTTATCTGGAAGGTAATCTATATCTAGTTCTTTAAATTTTCTTTCCATGTCACACATAAAAGAGCTGAAAACACTCCAATATGGTTAACTAAAATAAAAATAAAAAGAATCAATGAAATTAAAGTTGGCAAATTTTGAAATTTTATTGCAATAACCTTCGGTTCTTGAAGCAATTCCAACACATTTTATTTCTAGTACTAAGAAGGAAAGGAGAGAGAGAGAGAGAGAGAAAATCAAACCAAACAACCCTGCAGAAGGTAAAGAAACAAAATATCGAGTCATTTTGGAGATCAATTAAACAATATATGATGGAAACAGGAAAAGAGAGTGTAGGCCATTAAAGAAAAATAAATGGTTAAGAACATTCGACAAAGAACTAAAAGAGATGACACAAAAATTAATAATAATAATAATAATAATAATAATAATAATAATAATAATAATAATAATAATAATAATAAACACACACAAGATTACAGGACCTACCTTCAAAAACAAATTGTGATAAACTACATGGAGTATAAAAGTCTACAGGGCAAAGAGTGATGCCTCAGTCAAATACACAGAAGATAATATTTGTGAAATGTATAGAGATGTCTCAGGTCTTCAAAGAATGGGAGTCAAACTTTTGATACCGCTACACATGAATGTTAAAGATGAAATCAGACTAGATTGCATTCCAGAAGAAAACTATAAAAAACACAATTCTTCCCTGCAGAACAATTCAAACTTCAGGATTAATAAAGGGCTAGAAGGAACAAGCCACATTACTGACAATTATGAACTAGACACCCAACTAAACAGTGATAAAAAAAGAAAAGAAAGGAAAAAAGTAATAGAAAGAAAAAGGTAGAAGGGAAAAAACAACAAAAAAACAGGTTAGATAAAGGCAATTTAGAGCTCATGCTCGTAGGATACAACGGAAAGGAACTGATAGAAATGCTAATATAATTATTTTACAAAGTATGGCAAGAAAACAAAATATCAATAGAGTGACATGAGGGTTTAATATTCATAAAAAATGCTCAAGGCAGATCTGTGGAATCACATTGCTGTCAACATCAATCAAGCTGATTCTTCATTCATAGGAGTATGCAGCCTCAAAAGGAAAGTCTTGCAAACTACCTTTCTGGACCACTTCTTCCATCAAACATTTGTTATGTACATATGAAATTTTTCAAATAATAAAAAAGCAGGGTTGGCAGATTGTTCAGAGAGCTTTTTTCTCCATGTCAAGTGTCATGTCATGTGCCCCAAAGAATTGGCTTAAAAGCAGGGTTAACATCAGGATTTGATATTTAATGGGGAACAAAATGTATTATCAATGTACACAAGCACATTATACCAAAGGGGTAAATTCTGTACAGGAATACAATTCTTCAACAAATTACCAATATCTGAGAAATGTAATAGGATTAAACAACTTCAAGAATAAAATCAAAAAGCAAAAACTTTTTTATAGTGTTCCGGAATACCTCAATAACTAAAATTAGCAATGCAATCTAACTTCAGGTGCTGCAGTAGGACTAGGTGTAGAAATAGAAAACACCTGACCAAAACCTGCCTCCTTCTCCTCAACATTTCAAGATTTAAACAGAGAATGTACAAATAGTTAAATTTTATGTAGAGGTTAGCATAATTGATATCATGTACTTATTATTATTATAAGTAGTAGCAGTAAAATTACTATACCAAGTCAAATGTTTTTTAAAAATGAAACAGTACAAATCTTGAAAAGTTAAATTTCTTTACCACTAAAAATAATTATCTCCTGTATAATACATTAAACTATCTGTAACAAGTATTATAGTGTAATTCCTAGGAGAATGACCCCATCTCGATCAGGTTTCTTGTGCAGTTTCCCAGGTCCTTTGGGCAAATGCTTCGATGGCCCCTTGTTTTTATTCTGGACAGTAAATGTAACTTCACTTTCTGCACTCGAGAAGATATGCGCAATTGTACTCTGTCCACATGCACCACGTTAGACTCATCATACGAAATTGTAATTGTATATATGACCCAAATATTTATTATTAATTATTATTATTACTATTGTTGTTGTTGTTGTTGTTTTTATTATTATTATTATTGTTGTTATTGTTATTGTTATTATTATTATTATTATTATTATTATTATTATTATTATTATTATTATTATTATTATTATAGTTGTGTAGAGCTAAGGGATCCCTTTTGAAGGCTGCCCTCCCCTGCCCTTCTGCATATGCCTTCAGAAATACTTCAGGAGGAGAAAATGTCAAATCAACTACTGAAGGCAATCCAAAGTTTGTAAAAGAACTAAAGAATTATAATACTGTTAAAAGAGAGAAGAAACTATGCAGTAATTAGTTGGCATAGAAACTAGGAATATTGACTCTGACGATTGAAATAATTTAAATAGAATAAAGTTTGTATTTGTCTATAGGTAGGACAAGGACAAATCCTTCCCAATTAATTCGTTAATATATTATTTGTATATTTGACAATCTGTTATGTAAATAAAATAAATAACAACTAGCAGTGGCTGAAAGCAAGGATGTGAACTTTCACTGTGGAAGGATCAATTGAGGAGTATGAATAACACTGCCCAAACTGATCTGGAAGTACAAACCAAGAGGGAACAGAGATAATATGAGTTCACAAGAGAAATGGCATCAGCAGGAACACTTAGAAAACAAATCGCTACCAAGAACACTGAGGTAAACCACTAGAAACACATCGTAAAACCTAATTTTTGGTTAATTCATGAAGATGTTGTCTTTTCTTTTTTTTTTTTCTGCATGGGCAATTGTACTTTGATAAGGTTTGAGAATGTTTATCACTACAAATATTGGACTAAAATTAAAAGAACATGCCATAATAGTTCTCTTTGACCATAATAGTGCCAATCTGTAATTCCAGAATTGCCAATATTCCGTATTCCTTACAGGTAATCTGTAATAATTTTCATATCTGCATTGCACATACACAACTTTTAAAACAATTATACAAGCTCTCTCTCTCTACTTATTTATAAGTCTGGATTTTTATGTAACATATTGTTTGTCTTTGCATATTCATATCACAAAATTGTGATCTTGGCGAATAATGGCAATCCTAACGAACCATTTCCAAATTTTTCTTTACATATTTTACTTATTTTCTTACACTTATTTTGCAAAATTTTTTATTATTAAACCAATTTTTTTAAAACTTATTCTCAACTTCAATGAATCTATAAGAAAGGTTTTTAAAAAATATGGCATATTTTTTTTTTAACCAAATGAGATGCATGCTGACGAGGTGCTCCACGTGAAGATGTGGTCGGACTTGGTCTGCCCGGATTAAGCTCCACCTGCACTGCATGCTCGTTGCAACAAGTGCTCATGAGCGCTGAGAATGTTACCTTTAGGTGTGGAAAGTAACAGTTCTTTATCTTTACTATCAAGTCCTGAAAAATATCGGTTGAAGCTGATGTGTTAAGACAATGTTATGGTGATTATTAACAGATCACCGAGTTTTCACATTTTTACGATGTACAATGATTGTTCTAAAAAAATTCAAAATATACCCTCACAAAAATTTAATTCAGTACACCAAGCAATATTTTTTAAATTGGTTTATAAATATGATTTAATATAATTTCAAATTGTATGAATTTATTTTGTTAGTAATTAGATATTAATATCATTATGCTGATACAAAGCAAATAACAGAAGCAGTTGAAATTTGTTAACCAAAACAATAACCAATTTGTTACCAGAGTCATGATGTTCAATCATTTTTGTTATACCACTATCTTGTTTGAAAAATTCATATAAATAAGAAATATCTTTGCTTTGAATAAGAGCATTCATACATTGTGTTTATCTACAAATTGTTTGTTTTGACCTTTCATGATCGACAGATGCTGGTACAATTCATAATGGATATCAGATGTTAAGTTTTTTTAAAGTAAAATGTTTTCCATTTTTGTTCAAGTGCATTGTTTATAGATGCAACGGTTCAGTATAATGAAAAATTGTTATCACATTTAGTTCTCCGATTATGTTCACCATGAATAATGTACAAATGAGTTCAGCACTATTTGGATCATCATGTCCCCATGTGTCCACTGTGAGCAGCCAAAGAGGCCTTGTTTTCCTAGTAGTGCCCATCTTGTCACATTTTTTCAAACTAAATCTAGTGAATTGCAAGGTAGAAGGAACTAAACAAGATTTTGTCCAATAGGAAACCTATTCTAAGTTTTAATGGCTCTACATTTTCTAAGCTTTTCTTTCAATGCCAGGTGTGCAAATATGTGGGAAATGAGGATGTTATGCTTATTGTGAGAGAAACATATGGTGTCCAAGAGGTTCTTTGGTTCTCCAACATAATGAAAAATGATTGATAATTTCACTATTTACATGTTCACATGCCTCAGTCGTTTTTTTAACGAGAAGTGTAATAAGTAACAAGATGTTGAAAGTACCTGAAACCACAAAATGACTCTTGCCCACTGAATGAAGATAAAGTGTACCAAAAAGATGAAGATGAACAAGAAAACTGAGAAGAAAAGAGGAAGGAAAAAAAAAAAATCTTTCAATACTTTACTAATGTTAAATATTTGAGAATACTTTGTTTCAAAGTCCTGTAACTTATTCTGCTCTCTCCTTCCTTCTTTTGCTAAAACAGAAATCTTCACTTGGATTTACTTTTCCAATATATTGGATTATTATGGAAAATGAAATAAACCTTCAGAGGAGGGGACTTTTAGGAAGAAAACAATAAAAAATGCATACAAATAAACTTGGCAACTTGAAGTGTTTTCAAAATGAACACTACAGATGTAAATTAAAATATAATATGTTTTATATTTCCCCAACCATTGTATCACAACCATCCCTCTGAAATTGTACATGTGCAATAATAAGATTAATGTACACCTTGTAAAGAAACAAAATGAATACTTTGGTACATGACTGGCAATACATTTATCTTATATACTAGTTTATAGACAACCAACACATCTGACACTGCAATATAAGCGTACACAATTACTTCTGAGCTCCATGAACCACTCTATTTTCCAAGAAATTCATGGTAGTGTTTTAACTCCTGCAGATAATCCATTTCCATGTGTTCTTTCTACCGTACGGCCAGGAGCAACGCATCCACCGTGGAGCCAGAGCGCAGAACTTTGCACGTCTCTGATACGGCAGGGAGAACGAGCAATGCGTTGGAACTAGCCATGCTCAATAGACGACTACTAGCCTGGCTTCCTGCAAAAGACAATCAAAGTCATTACATTCTAAATTACACTGAATAAAAAAAGGTGGTGACAGTTCATTGTCAAGCGGTAATGAGTCATAATGTGTCTTATAAACAAAAGCGAATCAGAAACTTTGGAACTCAATTATGAAACAAATTCAAATTCAAATTATGAAACAAATTCTATCACATGACTCGAATGTTACAGTTAACAACTGATCATTGCTACAAGTGTCAAGACTAAAGTCAGCGAGATAAAATGTGAGTTGATTGTGATAAAATGCTTTGCTTGAGTGTGAGTAGTGTGTGATGCAACATTAGTTTTGTTGTAAATGTTAATTGCTTATCATGTCATTGTAGCTAAAATGTGACATGATAAGAGCACATGGTACACAGCAACACCATGCCCCTCCACACAACTGTCAACCACCACCTTATTTTATTTGAACCTTAAACAAGATGGACATTTATCAGTTTCCAGATGAAGCAGAAATCTCAGGACTTATCCCTTACTGTACCAAAGTTCATGAATTAGCTCCCAAGGCGCAGGATCAGGAACGTAAAGCAAAGAACAAGTGGTGGGAATGAGGGCATTCTGATTCGAATTCAAACGAGAACCGCATGTTTTAATTAATTTCAAAACTATTTCAGATTAAAATTCATTGGAAATTGTGTTGGACAGGCTCAAGGAAGTTTTATGTTAATTGTGTAGGCCAAAGACTGGAGCTTCTTCATGAAATTGGACACAATGAGCTTCAAAAGTTGGAAGTTATAAATATGGCATAGTAAGAATTCGTGAGTTCATGTAGTTTGCCATGTTATTCCAGAAGTCATTTTTTCACATTTGGTACAAAAAGGTAAAAAAAAACCTTTCTTGGATGCTGAGATGTCACTGTCTACTGGCAGCAAAAGGGGCTAAAGAGATGTGTTGCTTAACAAATGCAACTTTGGACCAATGTTCAGAGTAAAATTCTACCCAACTACCCAGAGAATTCACTGACCTGTGCTCTTAGCAACTGGCAGCAATTTGTCTGATGACCAAGTGAGCATTACACGATGATATTCTGGCCTTGGATCAAGTGGGTAGTCACCTTCAATCTGAATACAAAACAACACAGAATTAATGCTTTCTAAAAGATGGCATTTCTTCGTAACTACTTTTTCTTTGCGCCTTTAAATTAACATTCGAAGAATCATTTGTGGAACACAGTTTTATTTTACCACTCTGAATATCAGATGACAATTACGATGCAGTACCATTGGGCTTTACATATTCCATAGGGATTTTACAGAACTGTGAATTAACAATTAAGTTTTAATTAGCAATATACAGAGAAACTTCTCCTAACAGATAAAACTTTCACATTCACAAGTTCTCTTTTGGTCATAACATGTTTTTGTACTTCTGTTCAGCAGATATTATCTATAAGATATGTGAACAGGCTGACACAAAACTGTTAATTACACTATCAGTAGATTTATTCTCCCTGTAACAGAAGACACGCTCTTTATGAAATGGTTTTCTAGATGCTCATTTTTACTTTGTTTGTGATTCTCGCATTTTTTGCCCAGGAACTGTCCTCGCATTTCTCATTCATTTTCAAGAATTTTAAGGTGGGTGCTCTATTTCTGTGAGATATGCGATTTGTAAGAAGCCTGTTTAGGGAGCCTTTTTCTGTTTCTCCCACAATAAACATATTGCACAGCTCCGCATTAAAACCCATGACGATGCGACTCTAGTGATCCGTGCAGTGACAAAGGAACACTATACCACCTACCATTCAACATACAGCATAGTTGTGCTAAATCTGACCAAAAAGTGAATGTTTTTTAATATATTTTCATTTCCTTATTCATATAGCTAAAATGACATGTGAAGTCTTGAACAATTTTTAAGGAAAGAAATGATTTAGAACCAATAAATGTTGTCCATTGAAAATGAATAGTGTACTCATGAGGAACAAGTATTTCTTCACTTTCCACGAAAATATCTAGAAATAAGTAATCTAAGTAGTAAATAAGAGCATCTATGAGTTAATTACATTTCTATAGTTTTTGAACAAAGTTTCCATCTCTCCTTTCTAGGTCTCTTGGAGAAGTAAAAAAAAACCTTAGCGCAAGGTTCTTTTGTTTATTACTGTTGCATTTAATTGCAGATTAGTGTACCCTTCCAATACACACATTAATATCAATGTGTAAATTGGAAAATCATAAGAAATCGGTGCACATCAAATATGACCCAACACATGTCAATTGTGAGATTAAAACATTAGTTCTATGTCATTTTACATGTTATTTAATGACTTGCCTATGAAATCCTAGGAATATAAAACCATGAGGTCAAGAAACAACACAAAATATTTTCAAAGTTTTCAATCAGCTCCTAATAAATGCAATTTCACAAACAAACCCATGTACTCCAATAGCAGCAATATTGTTTGTCTCCACCAGGATCACCAGTTGAATGAATGTGCATCTCAAACTAGCCAAAAAACAGCTGAGCTACGCTACTCTGTAATACATATTCTGTGATTCACCTCTCAGTTTCCTACAATGTCAGGATCAGTAAGTATCATTCTGTTAAAGAGAAGTTTCATCTGCGTTTCTAATTTTTTTTTTTTTAATTTATTTTGAAAAATACTTTAATAATTTATTATATAATTTTTTTAAAATTGGATAATAAAAATACCTAAATGCTTGTCCTAACTCTTGTGGATTGTTGGATGTAATGATCTTCATACTCAACAAATCACTTGACATAAAAATTAAAGTTTCAAGATTGGATGTATTACATATTCACTAGTTAAAATCCCACCAAGACAATGATCTAGTAATGCAGGAATATCAGTCATTATGATTATAGTTACTAATACCTTGTACAACCTAAGTTTGTGGTTGAGCACAAATCATTATTTGCTCGCCGAAATTTTATCCCCCTTTGTTTTAACAAATATACATTACATAATATTTGTCATGCCAACAAAATCCAACAGGCTAATTTCAAATATTTTTATGTTTACAAACCACTATCAATTAATATTTTGTAACTAAAGAGAATTGAAACTGAGGGGTTATATAAACCCTGCTGAACTGATGACAGTGCACATAAACAATGGACCAAAACGTTCACTGACCGTGGCCTTCACGACAGTCGGCAAAGGGTTGCGATGCCCTGCCAGCTGCTTCAGAAGTGGGATAAGGAAGAGATGCCCCGTCACTGTAGCAGACACTGGATTTCCAGGCAGTCCCAAGACAAAGCGCTTCTGACCTTCAAAAAGTAGTGTAGCAAACGTTGTTGGTTTCCTGCACATAAAACAAGAGTTTTATTTTATTTTAAAATAATCAACAGGCTGAAAGCCTTAACATAAATTAAATACAATAACTTCTTTGTTATGAAATAGAAGCAGTGTTACACTACAAAAAGAAAAGGAAGAAACTAATACCTTGATAACCTTGCCCCATACAATGTTAGATCTCACAAAATAATATACAATCACAACATTCAGTTTAAATAAACCCATATATAATCTGTTTAATGCTTTTTGAAAATATCAATGTTTTAAGATTAATACCATTCCTAGTAATGTATAAATTAGCTAATCTGAATTTATTCCCTTTTCACAAGATACAGGCTTGGTTTCAAAAAATTTACTCCTGAATACCTTTCTTTCTAAAATGTTACACCAGGACTGCTTTTAGAACCTCAGAGGCCTCTGGCGGATTTGAAAATGAGTCCACCTAGTACACACACACATTTTTTCATTCAGTGATAAATAAAGATATATACATTTTATCTGCATTACTACCAATAATAAGTGACTTTCGTGATGCACCAAGAAAGGTAGATATTCTAATTTTCTGCAATTGTGTATTAATAAATGAAAAATTAATATTAGTTACAATAAATGAAAAGAGCAAAAAAAGTTGTACAAGTAAACTTGGTTTCATTTGTTTAACAATAATGGAGAAGGAAGTATTATTTCCAAAAGTTGCAAAAATGTAATGCTGTTCTGTACAACAACGCTGCACAGGGACAAATAAACCATTAAATCTAAATAGAAAAAAAAAAGTGTGACCTATAAAGCTACAACTCCACCGAAGTTCCTTTCAGACATGTGGAACTTGGCATACAAAATTGCATCAATATCTGAGATGGTATCGTGAAGCACTTTTCCAAAATTTGCTTGAAATTACCATTTTTATAACTAACTTTTGACTTCACATGTTCAAACATTGCACTCTAAACACGTGGTGCTGAAACAGCACATACTTTGCCGCCTATAGTAATACTATTTATACCACAATTTCTCTCTGAATTAACACATCTCAGTCATCATCTTTTTAAACTCATTACAAAACATAGAACATTAAACGCAAAAACTAAATACTTTTAATATCAATACAAATTCATCACTTATAACTGTGTTCCATACAGCTAAAACATGTCCCAACACTGAGATGGAATTCATAGAACTACACCTGTCGTCTCGCGGGGCAGAATGTCATCACATTCCATTCATATATTTTCTGAAGGCTAACATTTTTCTTTAATATTACATTTAAATTGCATTTTTAAGAGAGAAAACCTAATTGGGCTTATTTCAATTAAGATTTGTGTTTGCTTGAAAGAAAATACCTTGCAAGGTTTTAAATTTTATCTAAAAGATTAATTTGTAAACATATAACTAAAGCTGGAATATAAGAAATGAAGAAAGAAATATGAAATAATATAAAAACTCTAACTTATGTAGCACCCAATTGCTTCCAAGCACTTTTCAAAATAAGTTCACAAAGTGCAGGAAATTTGAAGTGGGAGACTATGACTGACACCAAATTACACAAAAAAATACTGATACTTTCAAAAAATTCAACATGACCTTGTTTGAAAACCTGTTTTTAATAAACACATTTCGTTTTTTAAAAAATGTATCTTCACAATTATAGTTGTAGGAACACACAAAAAATTTGAATTTTTGCAATGTTTGAAAAATTAGGGTTTTCAACAAAAATCAGATTCCCTTGAACGCCCTTCACACAATCTAACAAACAAATTTAATAAAAAACGTTGCAGCCATTTTTTTGAAAATTTAGAAAATGTCCCAGGGGCTTCAAGAAAAGTACCCCCCCAAAACAAAAAAATATCAGTTTCAAATTTAAAGAGCCACGACATCCGCCAGATCGATTGGGAAATATCAATTTTGGAGAAAATCAGCTGAACAGTTTAGAGCTAGTCTTGTTCACAGACAATGATGTTCGTTGTCAATCGATTTTTCAGTATCAAGCACCCTCAAAACATGGATTTTGGCTACACGATTAGAGGATTAGAGGATTTTTTTCTAAATTTAGAAACTGGATTTATTCACTTTTTCGTTTCCAGGGTTTGGCAATAAGAGCTTTTCCCGCCGCATTACATAACTTTCTCTCTACTGCATAAGCGGTAGAGAGAAAGTAAAAACATTACAATTTATCAAAACGGGTATTAGGACATTTTTTAAAGAGCACAATATTATCTTTCCTTTAAAACAAAAAGATTGGATGTGGGTTTACAATGTGTGAAAATGACATTAATTTCTGCCATTTTCAATGGCATCTCATCGAGGCCTCCACATTTGGGGCCCCTGCACTTCAACGTGTCTCCTACAAGTAATTCAGAATCTAAAGGAAAAGCGCTTCCGAAATATTTTACATACACTTGCACCACTATGACTGCCACTGCACTAAGTAGAGAAACATTGTTTGATAAAACTAGTAGTGATACAACAGCACATACTTTCTCCAAGTTTACCAAAAAAATTCAAAGATTAAGAATATGCAATAATCACGTCCATTGTTGAAAGTGTTTACGACTAATATTGTTAACACTTAATAATGCTAACTGGCTGAAACAATGAAATAATGGAAGAGGTTTGTAACATTCTCCAATCAGATTGATCAAATGTTTTGTCCAAGATGGAATCATCATCTTAAAAGCAAAAGTAGCTTCCTGCCTTATACTCACCCTGGCTTCATGTTGATCCTGCCAAAGTGTATAGTCGCTCCCAGATCATTGGTGAGCACTTGTTTAAGGAAGTCTCTATCACCCATTGACACACTTCCTGATGTCACTACAACTTCGGCTTGTCGCAGTGCTTCTTGCAGATTAGTGAGCATGGATTCTCGGCTGCATGAACACAATTGATTTCAGTCAATTTCATATTATGTTTGTACAGAATATTCCTAATTATATATACAGAGAAATCTCTCAATGAGGAAAACCCCAGAGAAATCTGATGCATCAAGTAGTGAATCAAGTTGTAACGATTCAAATAAATGCCAGAAAGAGAGTACAGTAATGTAGAGTGCAGTCACACTTCTCAGTATCAGTTTTATTTTAGAAATTTTCCAGAATATACTTGAGGGTATCAGCATAAAAAAACACTTTATTCTTGAGCAAATCATTACGATATCCACTTTTTTGGAGAACTTTCTCAGAATATTCTGGCTGGCTGGTTGAGAGCGAGAGGAGAGAGAGAGAGACACACACACACACACATAGACAGACAGACAAACACAAGTTACTTGATTATATATTGTGTACTATAGGATTACTGGGTGAAAAGCATGTTCACTTGATTGCTGGGAGGGCTTATTCATAAGCAGAAATGACACATTATTTCCCAATGTTGTAAGTGGAACACAATGAACTTCATTTTCTAAAGCATTAATCTGAAGTGACAAATTCTTTTTTCAGATAATGCCAGAAATATTAATTTCCAATCATAACTATCGAGTTTTGTGTCAGGACCCCAACTATGGCAGAGCTCGTACTGTTAACTAATGGGGAAACATCTACATACACATATATTTCTTTATATCAGATTTTTCTTAAGAGCTAGTGTACAAAGAAAGCTACTGATTATTAACAAATAAAAGGAACTAACTTATCACGTGCAATGCCCATATCCAAGGTGGCAAATCCATTTTGGGCCAGCAGTGCCTGAAGAGTGGGTCTGTTTGTGTCCCTTATGCGGCCAGGAGCTAATGGTTGCGCAGCATCCTGAAGTTCATCTCCTGTGGACAGCACTGCCACCCGAGGTTGACGATGAACCATGACTTCAGATAGTCCCACAGCACACACCAGTCCAATCTCTGCCGGCCCCAGAACTGTGCCCTTGTGAAGCACAGTCTGGCCAACAACGATGTCGCTGCCAAGGGGCCTGCATCAAGTTCACATTTCAGTAGACAAGGTGGGTTTTGCACTGAAAAGGAAATTTGTACATTGGGATGAGACAAGAGCTATCAGCAACTGTTTTAGAAATTCAAGGAGCCTACATTAATCTACAGGAAAATTTAAATTTACTTTTTCTTTTTTTTTTGGGGGGGGGGGTGCACCAGACAGAAAGAGAGAAAGAAATACAAAATAATTGACTAACATTAGATGTAATAGCGAGTCTTGGAAAAGGCACAACGATCACATTTAGTTTAAAGATTTCAATTTTGAGATTGACCCAAATATATAAAGATGTTTGGTTAAAAATAAACTGAAATATGTAGATGAATTTCATATAGAAAATCAAATAATTCTGAGTAAATATGAGCAAGAATGTGACAAAAAAAAGACAAATGAACTCTGATGGTTCAGTAGTAAAAGACAGAATAGCATCGAAGTAGTAAATGAAACAATGAAAACAAGACACAAGTGAATATGTACAAGTCAAGATGGAAGTAAAAGTTTTGTCAGAAGAAGTTATGACTTGGAAGGCTATGAAGTAAATGTTAGTAAATGCTATGAAGTAAAGTAGATGATAGACTATGAACAAAATTAATTTTGATTAAAGTCTTAAATTAGAATGATTTGTATCTCCATAAGCGACGGATAATAGGTTGTGATTTTAAGGAGCTAAAATCGTTTGAGAAGAAGGCCAAAAAGACAAATTTTCGGTGGTCTAAATGTTGTGTAATACTAACAACAAATAATTTACAGATGACCAACTCGGGGAACTATACACAATACACATAATACACAATATCAACAATACTAATCAACAGTACAGTATCAATATAATTATGACAAACTTGCAAAACCATATTATATTTTCAGCAATTTTCATAAAGAAAACCTTATTGTTACGAGGATGAACAGTGTCCACTGAAAATGTTTTTTAGGATTTTTTTCTTTCTTGAAACCATTGTGCAGACTTTTAAAAAACAGGATACAGAGTATTATTAAAAGTAGAGTATAGATAGACTATCAATTTAAATTTTCTTTGAGTTTGCAAAAAATTAATATTTATTGTTGTAAAGCAGGTATAAAAGGACTGCATTTTTCTCATATTAATTAAATAATGTGTCATGAATTCTAAAATTTGCTTTTAAGGCCTGAGAAAAAATGTATCATCTACAATAACAACATAAGTCATTCTTAGACTATTTTAAATAATAAATTTATAAGTCATAAAAGCAAAGATATTTCCCAGCTTTTTAACATCATAGAATTCTGTTCCCAAAATATTAATTAAATCGTCATTACACCAACAGAAACTATCACTTGAAGTGAATGTCATTTTAAAAGAGAGCCATATCACACTCCACATTAATTATTTTTCTTTGTATTGCACATGTTAATATGGCATTATATTTCTATCAATTAAGGTTATAATTAAAGAACAGTTAAGGGATCAATACTCAGTAGTTTCTTGCTCCTTAGAAGTGCACTAACTCATTTTTACAGTCTTATGTACATGCAATGAGAAAATTTATTACCAGCAAATCTAAAAATAATTTTTTTAAATTGAAAGCAAAAATTGTATATTTTTAGAACAATTTGAGAGGTGAAAAGTAATAAGGAAAAGCCAAACGTAGTATGTATTACTTAATAGAATGTAAATGTGCACTGTTAAATATTATTGTTTGTCTTTGGGCTCGTAGTATTTAGATTATTTGTAAAAATCTCAATTTATAAAAATGGAATTACATGTATAGGTTCGACGAACACTTTTAAAGTACAGAACAAATTGCTCAATATTTTGCAGTTTTTGCGTAACCAAGTACAGTGTTTGAGCAACGAAGAAAAAACACATGGGGTTCTCCATGAATGATGCCACCCTAAATTTGGCTAACTCAAAAATTTTGCTACAGAACATGATGCAACTCGCAATCCATTTAGGAAACTAGGCAAGAAATATTGCTTTTTTGCCTGAGGCATCCTATTGTTCTAAAGTGAATAACTTGTGTTTCAGAGGGTCTTGAAAAACACACGAAAATTGACCATGCGTTGCTTCTAAAAAACATAAATCCAACGCAACAATTTTCATAAAATTATGAACCCTGTTGTCAAATAAACTATCTTTCTTGGTTACTTCTTCAGCCATAAATTTAATGAAAACTTAACGTTTTGGTTTTGCTTTCACTATTAACGTTTTTAAAAGGTTCAGTCACAATTCACACTTACAGTTTAATGCATTTTGAAATACTTTTTTTCTCATTTTATTATCTGGTATTCCCTGCAAGTGAGGAACTGTATGCAGATGAAGTTACCTGACATCCAGCCCCCTTGTAGGTTTTGTGAGAATTTCAATTTCCACTTCAGTTCGACCACCATCCGCCTCCTTAAGTAACCGAGTGTCTTCCACCTGCACAACTGCATCTGCACCAGCTGGCAAAGCTGCACCAGTATTGATCCTCGCACACTGTCCTGGCTGGATGCACAACTCTGGATCCTGAATAAAAATTTATTAAATCATTTTCAACCGCTAATTGCACCCATGAAAACTGTTTACGTCAAAATCTGGATACATTTGTGAACACTAGGCAAATTTCAGCTGAGAGTTGAATTTTATGATAATTAATACCAACAATAATAAAATAGTAACTTTTTGAGGAAGGTAAAACATTGATGAAGGTTTGATAATTGAGACACATTTCTATGAAATAGTGTGATTTTTCTTAATGTGTAGTAAACTCAAGAAATTTACTTTCAAAGAAAACCAGAGTAATTATTACACTTTGACAACTGAAAATATAAAAATAATACAAAGCCGAATATCAAAACTGCATCTGAATTTTCATTGCCAACAGAAACTCTGCCAACATGTTAACAACTATAGACCCAATGTTAAATGCTGCAATATTCAAGGTATACAATTAAGTAACCCAAATATATTCCGAGATTGCTAATATTACTAAAATTTCATTATGATTGCACAATAAACTTAAAGGCATTAAATTCATTTATTGGATGATTATCAGAAAGATAAACTGTAAATAGTTAATAAATATTTGAGCCATTAGGCAATTATTCATAAAAGGAGAAAAAACACAATATTAAAAGAATTTAATTGCAGGACTGATTATTTTATAACCCAGAAATAACATCAAACTTATATTATATAATCCATATAGAAGTGAATTATTAAAAAGGGGATTTTATAAGCAATAAAAGTTTAGTTCTTGAATTTATATGAAAGATAAAACAATTTTAACTACATATTTGTCCTTCAATAACTTTATATAACATGCATTAAGGCTAGAGCTCCCAGACACTTAGGGAGAAAATATTCCCATATTTCCTCCCCATTTCAGAGGGTGAACATTTGAGATACTTTTTTTAAATGATTCTAACTTACAAAACAAATGTATAGTTGGTGGGCTCCATTTACTCAGCAAGAAAGTTTTATGTATCTAAAACTAAGGTACTAATGTGACATCAGTGGGGCAACACTCTAAAGCTGACCAGCACAATGTTAGATTTCAGCATAAATTCATGTAAACTCTCTGAATTGGACTGTTCTATGACATTTTTAAAGCACAAAATTTTCCCATGACACAGCTTGTGTTTCTAATATAATAGAAATTGAAGGTAACCTACTGATTCTCTTTTTCAGTCTTCAATTCACAAATGCAGGACAGAAAGCTATTCTGAAGAGTTTTATCAGGACAATGAATGCGTATATCAAATAAGGGATGATCCCACATTTTACTGGAATTCTGGGAGCCCTAGATAGTAATGCCACTCATATACAAAAATATTTTAAAATATTATTTGCAGTCAAATACCTACTTCATGCCCAGCGGCAGCTGCAGCCACCACCAGCCTCGGGCCAGAACCATCCGCTGCCACCACTGCATAGCCATCTTTCAGCGAGGCAGGAAATGGAGGCAATGACTCCCTGGCATGTGCAGTTTGCGCCAGCACACGACCTAGGGCCTGCGCCACTGGCACTGTCTCAGTGCTCAAGACAATTGCCTCAGCCAACATGAGCTGCTGAGCGTCTGGGACTGGAAGCATTGGAAATGGAGACTCTCGTAGGCGACGAGCCACTAAATCTGGGTCCACCTGCACATTCAAACTGTTGTCAGTCCAAATGCATTAGCAATCATGGTATAAGGGCAAGTCAAATAAAACCTTAAAAATTCAACATAAATTCAAAATATGGCATGAATGATTTGTAGGTTGGCAGCAAAGATACTTGGGGTTATACATCATGGCATGGTTCCCACTCCTCAATTCAAAAAAGAGTTGGCAACATATTCCACATTAAAACAAATCTGCAGTGAATTTTTCAAGTACCGAAAGTAAGAGACCCATTAAAATCCATCTGAGAATGAAGATTTCATTTCGTACCTGACCTCGTAGCAGATCAATGAGTGGAGAAGGAAGTTAAAAAAGAACATTTAATTTCTCTTCTGGATGCCCCACAACCAGAGTAGGCTCTTAATAATTTCCAAAAAATTTGTTACTTCCTTTTGAGCTTAAAGAATGGAGAACTACATGAACAAGAAATCATTGGCATGTAATAAGTGCTGCACATGAAAGACCTCTGCCTTGGATCAAAGAATAAAACTTGGGAATTTTGGGTTTTTGTTTTTTAATGACTTTACCTGATCCTATACTGCCCATTCAAATTGCTCTACTGCTTTATTGCCCATTCACAATCAGGACATGAAATTTGAATGTTTAATTTATTCACCCTAATCATCAGACCTGGCCACAATGATTTTCATGCCATGATATGCTCAACGACGATGCAAACATTTCTAATCTGATGGTCAAATTGAAATAACAAAATACACAAGGATCTACAATTGAAATATAAGGACTTAATTTTAAAGGTATCCACACATCTCCAAAAGTGATGGAATACTAACAGTGCGCATCACGGGGACCATGTTAAGAAATTAAACATTCACATTTTTTATACACTCATTTAAATCCCAGATATAGTTAAGGTTTTCATTACTTACATATATTAACAGTTCATAGAACAATAATATAATTATTATCATTTGTTTTAAACAAACCAATAATTTTGCTTCTTGCATTGTTTTAAATGTTTATATATATTATTATTGGACATTAATTTATCCTCTGCTAGTCACTTATGAATTGTTTGTACTGGGATTTGATGTATATGATTACTATTTAGAGTTCCAAATACAGTAATCCATTGTAAAATCAAACTAAATTGCATAACTACTGTAGAGAACACTGAAAACTAAAATGAGAGCCATACCCAACCCATAACCCAACTTGATGTTGCAACCACTAAAAACAAATAAATTGATTACAAATGATTCATCTTAGAAGCACGTATGGCTAAAGTCATTATTCCCATAATTATAATACACACTTTGGGGGGCTTGCAGGGGGTGGCTGTGCTTGCCCCCTCTTGGGATAGTGAGATCTCGCACCCACCTACCGGGTATTTCCCAACCAGATATATCCCACAAGCAGGACACCACCACAGCCGGGACAAGCTCTAAGCTCCCAATTGGTCTTCCAGAGTGTGTGGTGGTATAGTACCTGAATGTGGAAGTGTGAGTATGGGGTGGACAAAGAAGAGGAAGGAAGTATTGCATGTGTTCCATGGCATGTTTCTTGGGGTACTACTCCAGCATTCACATGATGTTGATCAGAGAAACCATGGAAAACTACCAATCAGAGCAGCCGGCCACTACAATTCTCCTCCACACAGCGCTCGAATTCAAACTAGCTATGTAGCGAGTGTTGAAAAACCTGCTATCTGGAGGCTTGAACCTTAGTCAGAGGCACTTCAATGACCTGATGCACCACCTAAGCACCTATTCATTCCAAACCTAATTTAGCGTTAATAATATCCAAGTGTGTCATTTCTCTGCATAAGCTTCATGAATATATAGTGGGTATACTGAATGAGAATAAACAAATACATTTTTGGCATTAGACGTTTTGAAAGAGTTTTTAATTATGAAACGCTGAGAAGAACACTTTTTTACACAAATGTAGTGAAATTATCTAACTTTGTTCTGGTGACTTATAGGTATGATCTCTCACCTCGCCATCTCCATCCGCCCGGTGACCACATGTATGCACATGAGTGTGCGTAGCAGTATGCTGCCGTCCGCAAGAATGTCTGTGCCCTGGTGGATACTGAAATAAAATATAAATCAAGCACAAAAGTGAGAAAAATTCAAAAAGACTATAACTCAAAATATTTATACACCATGCCTTCTAAAAATGCTACCTCCCAGTAACCTAATGTAGGGCAAACAATTTCTTGCGATTCCAAAATTATAATTGTAACTGAATTTTTTATTTCTTTTGTATACACTTAAAGGTGGATCCTCTTGTTCATCAGATTCTGGCAGTGAATGAATTTCAATGTTTAGTCATGCTTTACTCTTTGATGAGCTTTTATCACTTTTGTTAAGCATACTTTGGTACATTCAAGCAAAAGCATTATATTAATTACTGTCCAAAATTAAAATATCCATTTCAAATTCAAGGGGACATCAGGCAGATCAATCGTGAAATATCAAATTTGGCAAAGATCCTGTGTGTGGTATCAGGGCTCGCATTTGCACATAGACATTTTGCCAAAAAACAATTTTTTGAGACCAAGAAACCCAAAGGGTGGTTTCTGCCAATCAAAATATAAAAGAAAGAAATTTATCCTACATAAGAGCTAGAAAAATTTCAATTTTTTGGTATCAGGTCATTTCAATGAGTTTTTGTCGAAAAATTATCACTTTTCACAGCTGCATTAGAATAATTTCTCTACATTACTACGTAGTGTAACATTAGTAGAAGAGCATGAGGAAAGAAAATGAATAATTTGTAAATACTCTAAAAAATATTTTCTTTAATGTGCTCATGATTTCTTTAAAGGGCATCAATGTTCTTCAATGGGTTAATCAAGGTCAATCAATACATTACTATTCAACAGCTCCGAATTCACCTGTGTGAGCCGGGAGTCAGCTTTATGCGCAGGGGAATGTGCTGAGTGAGCTGCATGGGCCATCTGACGGTTTCTGGCTAGTGCAACCGCGTGGGGCACTGCCATAGCAACAGCTTCAAAACACTCCTGGGAGCCTTTGGTGCTACCTGGAAGATTGATGATCAACGAACCCCCGCGAAGTCCACACACTGCTCTGCAACCACAAAATCCATACGAGAACCCTTAGACATTAATGCTGACACTTTCAAATTTTGTGCAACTTCAATGAAAGAGCCTGTGGCAGTAACAAGATAAGCCACACCTGCCACAGAATTTTTGTGGTGTTCGAAAATGATCAATAGCTCAATTTTCGTTGAAAGATGTTCCAACTTATTACTGCCTCAACCTTTAATATATATGAACTTATGTATCATAAGCACTACAATAATACCAACATTCCTATAAGCTTCCCTCACTGCAAAAACTGAAAGTAAAAAAGAAATTGAAAGGCTACTTATGATTTGTTTTGTTTTGGCACAAATGAATTATTAGAAATATGTACAAAATTAAATGTTGATGAAATTTTTGAAGAAACAGACTAACAGTAAAGAAAATTTAAAAGAAAAAAAGGGAAGGGAAATAAAAACTACTCTATCTTCAAGAATGCTGCTAGAAAGCTTCAGATAGCATTATAAACACACATGAAACCATGTAGATCACTTCACCTCACTAATCTCCTATTTTTGTAGTTGCACTGCAAAATCTCATTCAACTCAAGAAAGTCAGTTATAAACCTCACAGAGTAAGTATAAAAGTATAAATTCAGTACTGTAAACCTATTCTGACCTTGAAGAACGTGTTTGACCACTTTACTACAAGCAGATAAACAGGACGAGTGGTTACACAACCCAACCTTCTATTCTGACCTTGTAATGTCACTAGGTTGGCACTTCTGACTCGCTGATTAAATGAGAGTGCCTCATTTACATAATGCAATTCTTTCATCAAACAAGACAAAAGACGGGGAGTAAAAGTTCAAAAATTTTGTTTGTTTCTTCTTAAAAGAATAAACACAATTCATTTAATTTTTGATGATAAACTATAACAGTAACAAAATTATTACAATGCAAGGCTAAAATTACAATATTTTCATAATCAAGGAATTTATCAGATAAGTCATTTATTTGGGTTAACTTTGTAATTGGAGTTCATAAAATAATATACTGAAAATGAGTAATCAGCAAGCGTTACATAAGGAAGGTTATATGTATATACAATAAACTTCTAACATTCTTTACTAAAAAACAAAATATGAGGATTTAAAAAAACTGCTTTTTTCTTAGTTCAAAATGAAAAATTCCTAATCATGCCAATCCTCTATTAAGTATTCTTTTATATTCGTAACAATTAAAGCATACTTTCTCATTATTTTGGTGAATTTTTAATACTTCCTAATTTTCCCTAAATACTAACACAGGGGGGGGGGAGGGGGGTTTATTAAGAAGTATTCTAGACACCCCCTTTTTCCTTTCTTTTTTGTATTTAATTTAAAAAACTATTTATCAGTTGAAACTATCATTTAAACGAGGCAACATTTGGTGATATTTCACAACCTTCTGATGTCCTTTGTCAGTTGTTGACATCACCAACTGAGATGGTTAGTGTTTTCTATAATAACACTTTTGTCATTGTGGTGAAACACAGAAGGAATATTACTGGCAATACATTACAATATGTAAGGCCTTCTTCTTGTTCGAAGATACGCCAAGTGATTTATTAGATTCAAGGAACCTGTTAGAGAATAACTGTTTTGTCATAGATGTGTGCATATCTTAAGATTTAACTTGCTCGTTCTTGAAGAAGTTACTATCCATTTGAGGTACTAGAAAAGTCCAGTTCCCAAAATCATCTTGCAACAGGGATTGCAACACTTGATTTTCTAGGGCTTTATATCTTTTTAGCCAATTTAGATGAGGCAGATTCCTCAACTGTACAAATAATTTAAGGGGAAAATTGAATTCCTTTGAATGGAATAAATGAGTTTAATATTTTGAATTTTGGTAGTATTCCACAACAAACTTGTTTACAAACATTTACAAGCACCAAATACTCGAAAATGGATTCTTTTGATTTCTGAGTCTTCCACTGGAGTGCAATACATATAATTTCTGAATACATAATTTATTTTCAAATGTTGAATAATAATTTTGACATGCCCATAACCAAAACTCATAGACTTTCAAGATTTCAAAATCTATCGATATCCTGATCTGGGACAGAGATTGGACTTCTCACCTGGACAGCATGGCAAGTGGAGTTATATCCAGAGAACGTTGAGTCATTGCCACCGAGAGTCCAGGGGCCAAGCGATTAACTACTCTCAGGGTGGCCTCAGGGGTGACATCGCGGGGTGAAAAACCAGTTCCTCCAGTCGTCACCACCACATCCAGGTTATCCGCGTCAACCCAGGTCTCCAGCACACGCTATCACACACAAGATATCCTGCATTAACAAAGTACCATGACTATAAAACTTACAATGGGAAATGAAGAAAGAAGAAGAAAAACAAGAAAAGAAGAAGAAAAGCAACAAAAAAAAAGAAGAAAAACCACATCCAGGTTATCCGCATCAACCCAGGTCTCCAGCATACGCTACCACACACAAGATATCCTACATTAACAAAGTACCATGGCTATAAAACTTACAATGGGAAATGAAGAAAGAAGAAGAAAAACAAGAAAAAAAAGGAAAAGAAGAAAAGCAAGAAAAAATAAGAAAAAAGAAGAAGGGCTGAAATGTAGTATACGGTACAACCTAGGGAAGTCATTTAAACTGGCACTTCACACCATTCCGGGGTTAACTAGGCAGTTAGAATTCTGGGGGCTTTCTTGAAAAGTGATGTCTTATAAAAGTGAATTGGTAATTATGCGTTGGATAGATTCAAGGATGTTTATAGTGAACGCGAAGGCCGAAGACCCGAGCCTCGCCGTGACTTGGATCCTGGCGAGCGAATGAGAAAACTTGCCTAGAAAATAAATTGGCGTTACAATGCATGTGAAGGGCGAACCATGAAAACTAAGTAACAGTAATTAGGGCTTAAGCCCAGCCGCCACATTTCTCTAAGGGTGTACCGTATACTAAATTTTAACCAGAAGAAGAAGAAAAACAAGAAAAAGAAGAAGAAGAAAGGAGAAGGAAAAGAAAAAAGAAGAAAAAGGAAGAAAGAAGACCAAAGATGAAGGAAAAATTCAGCTTCTACTCAGTAAATACTTGAGCAACAAAAACCAAATTTGATTGAAAACTTGTGTCAAAAATATTACATAATTTTTTTCACTCCTTCTGCTTTATATAATTGTGTAACGAATATCATCTAGCCACTCACGTCAGTGGTGGATCCAGCAGGGGTCTTCCCTCAAAAGGTTTAGAGTTTTTGATTGTTACTTTCCTGTACTTGGCAAAATTAATTTAAATGTTTATTTATAGTACATTGATGTAATTATTTAAACAATATTACCTCATACTACCATAAATTCACTACAAAAATAATATACAATATAATAACCAATATGTTCCTTGTTTAACAAAAAAAAAACCCTCCCCAAAAAAAGGATCAGCTGGATCTACTCCTGACTCACATCTGTATGTACACAAATGTCACCCTCTTTACAAATTAACACTAATAACACACCAGTAGTTTAATAAGATTATATACATGCTACACACAGGAATTAGAAATTTTCAAATATGCCAAAGACGCAATCTACAATGGAATTATATTCTGCGTACCTGCCAGATGTGCATTTCTGATTAACTCTGAGTCACCCACACCAACTTTTTGTTGAATGGACTTTTTGAACAGAATGTCAGCTAGTACAATTTAAACATACCATGAATACTAAGTAGAAAGCAATTTTTCATTTAAATAGGCAGAAAACTTAAGCAAAATATTGTAGGGATATCCAACCAACACATTGTCAGCACTGTCATTATACTATTTAACACTGCAGGTTTTATGTGAAGAGTTTCTCGCAACCCTTCAATGTAGAGATTCTTGTACACGTCATTCACAATACTTGCATTATAAACACATGCATATTAATACTGCATAAATTTGACTTCACAAAGCTGTCATAGTTAATCTTTGATTTGTAGCATTATCACATTGATCTCTCTACTTTTAAAATTCAAATACAAAATTATTTTCTCTTCAGACTCAAGAATTAAAGTTCAAATCCACTAGAACATATAACATTTCTTGGCAATAGGAGCTTAAGCACAGTGTTTGATATTGTAACTTACAACAATTTCATCTTCTTCATCAGGAACACAAGACCTCTTCACCACTCTAGCTCCAGGGACTAGTGCCTCAACTAATTTACCAAGATTGGGCCCACTCTTATCTTCAGCTAGACCCTGGAAGCATCTATCGCTTACTAAAAAAAACAACAAAAAAAATCAGTTTCATTCTCCACACATGTTTGCACATAATTATGTCATCAGACAATTAATAGGGATGGAATAAAATGTTGTAATGATCTAATAACAATGGATACAACAGTAAAATGATACCTTAAAAAAAACCGACTGGTTTGTTAGAAATCTATTTTATAAATATTAATCTTAATGAAAAACACTACTTCGAATCCCCTCTATTAATAACATTGTTTGGAAGTTATTAGTAACATAAAAACCCAATCTTATACTTTCAAATAAGGAATTTTATATTGACATGTCATGTTGTGTACTAACTACACACACAATTTTGTATTATTGGCGCTTTGGTCCGAATAATAATAGTATAATCATACAAGATCTTGATGGGGAGAATGACTTATTGAGTGAACTCACCTGTTAAAATTCCAAAAGTAATAGAATTAGCATCTGCCATCTTTTCAAAATTGTCACTCCATAAAACAGTCAACTCACAGATGTAATCCAAGGCACTGATATCGCGTTCAGACACACAAAAGAACCAAAAAGGCATACACAGCTTACGTCATAGACAACAACACTCTTCCAAACGGATGCAAGAACCAAAAATTTTCGGCTTTCCACCTCCCTCCTCTCATTCACTGTAAGTTGACGATCACCATCTCGTCTTGGTTCGCGTCTTACGACAAACAATTTAATGCCAAGACGTTTCATTTTACTATGTTTCATATTTATTTACTCATTAATTTATTTTTCTCGAGAAATTTAAATGTCTAAGATAAAATGCTGTACAATAAATTATGCAATTCTAGTCAAATGGATATAAAAATGTACGTAAATATACATTCGCAGTTCGCTCTTCAACTCACACATATTGTGGGGCGGCTTCTTTAAATGCACTCCTTCGCAATGAACCAGTGAATAAACCTTACAAGACAACGTCCAGATATTTTACAATTAATTAACGTAAATAACACGAGGAGCAGATAATTTTTTTTCTAGAACAATATTATGTTATTACAATTACGATGAGCTCAACACGTTCTGGCAAAACGCCTTTTTAATAAATGCATTGCAGGGATGAAATAGCCAAACCTAAGAAGACAAAAGTATTGGTCGACAATTTCTTTGTAAATAAAATTCTCATGATAATTCTTACATACATATTTCGTACCTCCATTTGTAGTTTTTCCTCAGAAAAATAGAGATGAAAATCTGCAAAACAAGGATGTTATTAACATTAATTTAAGTGCGAGGGAGATTTTGTGAACGAGTTGAAGGAATATAATCAGGAATGTTATTAGTGGGAGGCAGGAGAGGAAACTTTGTAGCTTGGTAATAAAAATTATTATTGGTTGAATGAGGATTATTAGTTGCCTTTCTGTTTTTGTTTCATTTAGATTTTCCAATTTTCCAAATTCCAATTCATAGTATGAACGTACATTCGATCTTACAATTGCACTGCGGTATTTTGCTTTGCAGTTAGCGCATACTGGTATTAAGTTACTCGGTTCCTTACAGTCTTCGATGAAGTGATGGCTCGCGTAAATAGTATTGTGAATTTTTCTATTGTAATAGTTTTTGGTATGATTATATTCTTGTCATCGATCTGGAATTTAATGATGATTTTTCCAATGACGTGTCATGTATTGTACGCAGAGAGGAAAAGGACAGCGGAGGATAGAATGTCATGGCGGCGGCGTCAACTCATGTTTTAACCTTGATGATGATGATGATGATGATGATGATGATGATGAATAACATGTTGCTAAAAAATCAAACATACTTCACCTCACCATTTTTACTATTCATTTGGAATTTTAACCGTCTTTTAATACACAATTTGATAACTAGGGAGAGGATTTTAATGTAATTACATGTTTGTTTCTGGAACAAGATACTTGCACGGAATCTTTTTTTACAAGACATTCTGAATTAAGTTGAACCATTTTTAATTTACATATTTTTTAAAATATTTTGATATAATTACAAATGTTAGTTATTTTACCTATTACTATATATTTCGTTACATTTTAATATATTTATTCGTCGAAACGGAATACTTCAGATGCACTTTTGCAATATATGTTACGGAATCATCTTTCTTAAAAAGCAATGTATCGTTGCTGGGCCTCTAAGACCATTGATCATCATATCTTCGCTATGAATTGACAAACTGAACCCCGTCTCCCGGCTTCTTGGAAACGGCTTACTTTGAGTAAAGGATTAGCAGATGATTGTGAAGCAGACGTAATTTGAACCACGTGCCTACTCATGTTTCAAACAGCATATTCGTAACTCAATCGAAGACTATAAATATCGTTTTACAGATCATTATCTTATCGGGTTGTTTGAATGGGGGGGGGGATCCTTTTAATCCCTCCGCTCCCCCTTCGGAATCCATCTCTTGACACACGGTATACACTTGAGTACCTATTCATCGTAAACATTATATATACAAGGAATGTATTATATATTTTCATTACAGCTCTTTATGTGTTGCAAAGAATACCGTGTACAATTACTTCTGTAAAGTTGTAAGAATGTTTTTTCAGCTACTCCAAATTCATATTAAAATCTGATCAGCGACGTTGTGTGCTTGAAAAATGTGCAATCTGCAATTTTAAACACTATAATGAATTTTATTTTTTATATTTTTTCTTACGTTTTTTACAAAAAATAAATGCACACACTGTGTATATACTATGTACGTATTTCGCGTTTTTACTACAAAAATATTCGTTACCTACTGGTAACCATATCTTATAAAAACTATACCCCCATACATTTTTTTGAACATTTTACATGTAGAACAGAAAATAATCTTGAATCTTAAGACACATATCCTCTACATACGTTGAAGATAACCAAGTTATAAATAATAAAACTGATTTTTTTGCACCAATACTGAAACAATACGTCACCAAAAGATCGCATCAACTCCTTGGCAGATCCTCGTTCGAACCATGTGGAGCATCGTCAACATTCTGAGAACACCGCGCTTTCCACGTTAGTCAACATTCTGAGAACACGCGACGAGCTAGCATTGTCATCAGAGGCGAAGTGCAGAAAGCTTGGTAAAAACGTTTCGGACGCCTTCAAGGTTCGATTCAGAGTGTGCCAAGCACTGGATGCAGTTGTAACATGAAGTAAAAACGACGAAATTCGTAAAGAAAGGTTTAATTTCGTTTGGACAGAGGTAACTGTGACAATGTCTTCAATACTCGTTAATTAGTCCTCCAAGTAACAATCTTTGTCAATTGTGTGACGTCTCTTTTCCAGAACACTCTTGCCTGACAAAAAACTACTGATAGAAGAGACGATGTTTCGTTGCAGCTTCTATTAATTGCTCTCCCAACTTTTTCTTCGAGTATTTCGCCGCCTCACCAAATGGATATCGTATCTAAATGTAGTATCACAGATCACGGCATGTCAATGTTCTGGTGGCAGCATCCTGCTTATTCTGTGAAATGATCAGATGATAAATGATTACATCACAAAGTTCAAGATATTGCATTATCTTGGTACGACGTCATATGAAAAGGGTGGTTCATTAGAATGTACTTCACAGTGTAGGAAAACCGTTCTGAATCTAGATGTGCTACTATGAACATAAGCAGCCACACCTCTGAAGCAGAATGTGGTTCCAGTGATTCCTTTGACTGACGTCGGCGCCATGTTCTAAGAGGAGCTTCGTGGTTTGCACATCACCTGCTCTTTCTGCTATCAATAGCGGAGTTTTGCCCCCTTTGTCTACTGCTTTAGGATCAGCTTTGCTATCGAGGAGGAGCTTAATAAGCTTGTCATTACCGCTTCTAGTAGCGTAATGGAGCGCTGTCCTGTTGTGTTTATCTCTTTGACTGACGTCGGCGCCGTGTTCTAAGAGTACCTTCGTGGCCTTCATATTCCACATACTTGCTGCCATCATTAGCGGTGTTTCACCCAGTTTGTCTCCTGCGTTTGGATCAGCTTTGCTTTCGAGGAGCAGCTTCGTAATCTGATAATGCCGTATTCTAGTAGCATAGTGCAGCGTTGTCATGTCGCGTTTATTTCGTCGGTTGATGTCAGCGCCGTGTTTTAAAAGGATCTCGGTGGATAGCTCATCACCCAGCCGTACTGCAGCCATTAGTGGAGTTTCGCCCTTTTTGTCTCCTGCATTAGGGTCAGCTTTGCTTTCGAGGAGGAGCATCATCATTTGGTGACGACGCCACCCAACAGCGTAATGAAGCGCTGTCACGTGACTCCCGTTCCTTTGACTGACGTCGACGTCGTGTTCTAAAAGGAGCTTGGCGGATTGCTCGTCACCTGCCCGTGCTGCCATCATTAGCGGAGTTTCGCCCCTTTTGCTTACGTATATACGAAAATACAAGGAGTCAACTGCAGTAATTTTGACGCAAGAATACGTAGTCATAAACTACGGACTGTATCAATACTCTATGGCGTAGTTGTTCTGTAAAAGGCTCGCGATGAACTAAAGAAAAGGCAAAAAAGCGGCTCCAGCGATAAAAGGGTTTTATGTGGCCGTCGCATACAAAACATTGATAAGTGAAATAACCAGACTTTTCGCATTGCGCTAATGATCTTGCGCTCTAACAACAATTTTTTTATTTTGTTTCATCATTTAATCATTAACTATTGTCAAACCATTTTTCACGCACACTATTTTTTTTTACATTAATGTAGTATTTAAAAGTATTATTAGAATTACTGCAGTTGCCCCTACTCGCATGTCGTCACATTAAGGGAAAGTTAAGGTTTACGGAATTTGGCATTTCTGAAATTCGACATTTGAGGAATATTTTTCTCACCCCAAAGCCCGACCCCTCGAAATTAGTGGGGTGGGTATAGCTACCCAACATGCCCGCATTATCCGTAGGGCCTGCTGGTGGCCTTCGTATTAAAAACAGATATCCCGCCCAAACTCGTAGTTCTTCAAACTTCAGCTTGTTAACGCGGCAGCATCGTGTTTATTCTGCGAAATGATGAGATGATAAAAGTTTACATCAGAAAATCCGAACAAGTTCAAGATATTTAATCTGCATGGCTTCATCTTCGCATGATGTCCGAAACAGGACGTGGTTCATCAGGTTGTAGAAGACAATGAAGTAAAACTGCTGTGAATCAAGGTGCGCTCCTATAAGCAGCCACGTCTTTGAAGTGCAGTACGATTGCGCTTATTGCTGGGACTGACGTCGGCGCCATGTTCTAAAAGCAGCCCCGTGGACTGCGCATCACCCGCCCTTTCTGCCATCATTAGCGGGGTTATACCGTCGTCGTCTTCTGCGTTAGGATCAGCTTTGCTTTCGAGAAGGAGCTTCATAATACGGTGACGGCGCCACTTAGTCGCGTAATGGAGCGCTGTCCAGAGGTTCCTGTTACTTTGGCTGACGTCGGCGCCATGTTCTAAGAGGAGTTTCGTGGATGGCGTATCATTTCCCACTGCTGCCGCCATTAGAGGAGTTTCGCCCTGTTTGTCTACTGCATTAGGATCAGCTTTGCTTTCGAGGAGGAGCCTCGTAATCTTATGATGACCGCTTCTAGTAGCGTAATGGAGCGCTGTCCAGTCGTACACGTTCATTTGACTGACGATGGCATCGTGTTTCAAGAGGAGCTCTGTTGATTGCGTTCCATCCGCCCAAACTGACATCATTAGCGGAGTTACGCCCATTAAGTCTACTGCGTTAGGATCAGCTTTGCTTTCGAGGAGGAGCTTCGTAATCTTATGATGACCGCTTTTAGAGGCGTAATGGAGTGCTGTCCTGTTGCGTTTATTCCTTTGATTTACAACGGCGCCATGCTTTAAGAGGAGCTCCGTGGATTGCGCATCATTACCCACAACCGCCGCCATTAGCGGAGTTTCGCACTGTTTGTCTACTGCATTAGGATCAGCTTTGCTTTCGAGGAGGAGCTGCGTAATATTGTGATGACCGCGTTCAGTAGCGAAATGGAGCGCTGACCTGACGTGTTTATTCCTTTGATTGACAACGGCACCATGTATTAAGAGGAGCACCGTGGATTGCGCATCACCTGCCCATGCTGCCATCATTAGCGGAGTATCGCTCTGTTTGTCTACTGCATTAGGATCAGCTTTGTTTTCAAGGAGGAGCTTCGTAATCTTGTGATGACCCCTTTTGGTAGCGTAATGGAGCGCGGTCCTATCGCGGTTATTCGTCTGATTGACATCGGCGCCATGTTCTAAGAGGAGCTTCGTGGATTGCGAATCATCCCCCACTGCTGCCGCCATGAGAGGAGATTCGCCTTCCTTGTCTACTGCATTAGGATCATCTTTTCTTTCGAGGAGGAGCTTCGTAATTGGGTGTTTGCGCGACATAGTTGCGAAGTGAAGGGCTGTGCAATGGTTCTCGTCGCTTTGACTGACATCGGCGCCATGTTCTAAAAGGAGCTCCATGGATTGTGCATCTCCAGCTCGCGCTGCCATCATTAGCGGAGTGTAGCCACTTTGGACTTCGGCATTAGGATCAGCTTTCCTTTCGAGGAGGAGCTTTACAATGTGGTGATGACGCCACTGTGTGGCGAAATGGAGCGCTGTCGATTGGAACTCGTTCTTTTGACTGACGTCTGCGCCATTGTCTAAGAGAAGCTCCATTGATTGAGTATGACCCGCCTGTGCAGCTATCAATAGCGGGGTTTTGCCGTGTTCGTCTCTAGCATTAGGGTCAGCTCTTCTTTTCAGGAGGAGTTCTGTTATCTGAATGTTTCTGCCACTGACTGCATAGTGAATGGGTTGTCTGTTAGAAAAGTCTTTCTTTGATACACTCGCACCATACTTTAATAAAATCTGTACAGTAGACCTGTGTCCATTTATTGCAGCTATCATTATAGGTGTTTTTCTTCTTTCGAATCGTATGTCTTTATATTTCCCTTTTTTCTTCAATATTAATTCCATTATCTGAAAAAATAAGAAAATATAAATTTTACAAATGTTATAGTTTAGTCTGAATTAGGTTCGTCTTTAATTTGCCTTTTACAAAAATTATAAATTCTTTGGGTGACGCTCATAAATTTTCTTACAAATACTAGAAGTCACTAGGAAATTGTTAAATTTCATTGGGATTCATCTATTCTTATGTAGAGTTCCGGTTAGTACAAATAAATCCTGTTTTACATAACGCATGAAAGTCACGTATCTAACGTAAAATCGACATTTTAACACAAAAGGTTTCGTCTCTGTCGTCCTTTTCGTTCATGTCGTCAACCGCGCCGTCCTTGGTGTCATCCCCCTCGTCGTTGGCGTCGATCTCCTCGACGTCGACGTCTTCTTCCTCCATTCTATTCATTCTCATCACGTTCCTCCTTGTCATTGTGTTCCTCGTCGTCGTCTTCCTTTTCCTCGTCGTCTACGTCCTCTTCCTCGTCGTCCGCTTTCTCGTCACCCCTCTTCACACGTAACCGTAGATTACAAACGCGACATGCATCAAGCGTTATTACAAAGGCATAATTTGACAGAGAACTTTGGGTAAAAATAAAGAAAAACTCAGTTTTACAATGAAACGCTAAATGTAATGGAATCAACATTGACGATATAGAGTTGTAAAAAACATTTTTAAGGTTTTTATATACATCGAAATGATTTGACTCTCACACCAGACACTTGTTAGGAGTTGCCAACTCATGGCTTTTGAGAAGCTTTCACTGAAGTACACCGTCAGGTGACCTTTGTTATGATCGCTATCGTGCCATTACGATTGTTAAATGTTTAAAACAAAACTTAAATAATACAAATCACGGAGTTTGTAGTCATTATTTACAATATTGGCCAATATAGACCAATATAGAAGGCACTGACATAACTATAAATGCGTATACAACTGAACGACGCGTGTTACAATTTCGGAAATACACACGCGCACGTTTCATGTATTTCACTGGCTAGTGACACAATGAAGGGGGTGGGGGAAGCTTTCGGCACTAGTTCAGTCGTCTGAGAGGAGACGCTTTTGTAATCTAAGGGTAATACACCCAAAAACGGATTAAGTACCGTAAAGGTTATTGGGCGCCGATAGATGGGAAGAAGGTGTGGCCAAAGCCAAAAAGCTAGCCCGGTCTGAAGAGAACTGGAAAGTTACTATTTCGACAAAGACTGGGAAATATGTACCACCGCTAGAGTTCCAAAGAGTAGATAAGAACAGTTTTATCCAAATTTGTGCTTGAGTCTTGATTGCGGAAAGGAATAATTGTCACCCTTCATCGGAACTACCCGCTACAACTACTACTTTATTTTGGGATAGACCTTCAGGAAATGTGCCCTTTACTTACTGCTGGCCAACCTTGCTCTGCCGCTTTCAACACAAGATCTCGGATGTCGACGTTGTGAGTGACGAAGTGGTCGGGGTCGGCGCCCCCTCGCAGCAGTCGCTCCGCCGCCTCGAGGTGGCCGCAGGCACTGGCGTAGCGCAGCGCCGTCCAGCCCAGCAGCGCGTCCCTGCGCCCGGGGTCGCAGCCATTGGCGAGCAGCGCGCCCACGGCGTCGGCGCGGCCCAGCGACGCCGCCTGCACCAGCGCCGTGCGGCCGAAGCGGTCGCTCTCGTCGGCGTCGCCTCCAGCCTCCAGCGCCGCCTCCAGCGCGCCCTCGCTGCCCTCCAGCACGGCCCGGTGCAGCGGGAGGCCGTCCGACAGCATGTGCTCCAGGATGTGCCTCACCCCCACGCCCACATCGCGGTTCAGGAGGCGAAGCCACACCTCCTTTGCAACCTCGGACCCTTTCTCTTGGTTTTCCAACAGCCAGCACGCGCCAAAATATTCGATAAAGGTGTAATGCAGGAAATGTGGCATTTCATCTTCTTCATCTCCCAACCATAAGATTCCTGTTTTTTCCTTGATCAGAATATGTCTGTTTTTGTCTAGGTAGTCTCTGAATGGTGAGGAGTCAACAGCGCTGAATGTACCATCGGAGACCTGCAAAGGAACGTCGGTTTTTTCGATAGATATGTACGCACAGTGTACATTTGGCAAAACTAATTAAAACTATTTAATCAAGATGAAATATCCACAGTAATTTTTACTTTCTTGGTAGAGAGAAAATTATGTAATGCTACGCGAAGAAACGGTACATTTCCGGCAGAAAAACTCTTTTTAGAGGGCCCTGGTAACGAAAAAGTGGATAAATCCAGTTGCTAAATTTACAAAAAATATCCCCTAAAACGTGGTACTGCCAGAATCGATGTTCCGTAGATCCTTGATACCGAAAAATCGATTGCCAACAAAACGTCTTTCTGCCCGTCCGTTCACCTGTCTATCCACTGTGAACAACGCCAGTGGGTAAACCATTCAGCCGATTTTCTCCAAATTTGATATTCCCTATTCGATCTGACTGATGTCATGGCTCCTCTTATTTCAAATCAATATTTTAATTTTGGGGAGTATTTTACATGAATCCCTTGGAATATTTACAAAAAAACAAAAAAAATACAGTTTTCCGTGAAAATAAATTCAAAATTACGAAACGCTCAAACACCATTTTCTCTAAACCGGCTCCATATTTTTTCTTCAATCTTTTCCAACAGATAGTGCTAATTCCACTGTTTAAGATTACATAGAATTAAATTTTCTGTATTAATTTGTAACGAAATAGAATCCCCCTCGTAATAGAGTTGTCTTGCTTGTCTTGGCGAAACACGTTCGTATTCAGAGAATCTTAACTCGTTAACATCTCTGATCTAATTTTTTGCGTGACAGACTTGACGCAGGAGCACTTGGTGGAGCTGCTGGCGGCGGCGGTAGGCGTCGTGGCTTCGAGTTCACCCGAATCCACGCAGAGGTTCCTCAAGGCTGCCCTTTACGAGTCGGGGGACATCGCAGTCTTCGTCGACGGCGTGGACGAGATTTGCCCTTCCTACACGGACAAACTCCTCCGACTCTTGCAACTGTTGCTGGAGACAAAAGTGAAGCTCGTGTGGGTCTCGTCTCGCCCGGAGGTAAGAAAATGGGTTCATCTTTCTGAAAATAGAATGTTGTCTCTGTTTTAGAATAACAGAGAAATTACCTATTTTTCAAGCACTGCAGTTGAGAATTTCGTTCTATTTTCCACTGCAGTTGAGAATTTCGTCAAGTACTGATTCAATAAAAAATTTGTTTTAGTCTGTCATTGTAAATTCAGTAACAAAAAACATAAAAGGGAAATAAAATGCGTAAAAATGACAAGAATTACGCAAAGGGCCAAAAAAGGCAAAAAAATGGAAAATGGCTAAAAATTACAAAAAAAGGCCCAATATCTATACATTTCTATCACCAATATGTCGTGATAAACATTAATTTACAAGTAAGCAACGTGTACAATGCACGAATGAAAAGATTACGTCTCATCAGAATCCAAGACCTGCTCTTTATCATCCTGCATACTCGTATTACAAAAATGTCGCCTTTTTACGTCTTCAAAAATTTACTCAGGCAGTTTTGGTCATTCTATTAAATTACGAGTATCGGAGGTTAGCATCCCTAGATACCGCCACATCGTACCACGGGTTATTAGAAATATGGATAATCTGGAAATGTCTGTATAGTATAATCGACGATTTGACAATACTACTTGTTTGTGAAGAACGGTTAATAAACCTAAAATGTTTGACCTATGCTTAGTACTTGACGTACAGTTTACCTCACAATTCAAGACGTATCCGTTGGAAGTTCCAGTAAGTGAGTGAGTGAGTGGTACCTGTCGGTTGCGGGAAGTCCCTGAGGAGGTTGCGGTGGTCGAGCGCCTGCAGCAGCACCGCCCACCGCTGCGCAGCCTCGGCCGCCAGGCGCTGCAGGAAGCGGCTCTTGCCCATCCCGGGCTCCCCCACCAGCAGCCCCACGCGCTGCCTCCACGCGGCCGCGTGCCGCACTGCCTCCGCCGCGTGCACGCACGCGGGCGCACGCCCACACGCGTCGCTCGCCCGCTGCACGAACGGCGCCACGGCCTGCGTCGCCCCTCGCGTGGCCTTCCACACCACCGCCCCCACGCCCACGCAGTGCAGCCAGTGCACGTTGAGGCCCCTCCCCTCCGCGCGGGCGGCGACGCGCAGGAAGGCGGCTTCTTGGGCGCTGCTGCCCCCGGCGCCAGGCAGCACCGTCCACCTGCGCTTCCACCAAACATTTTCACCTCCAAGCCGCCTCTTATCAAATCCCTCACAGAATGTGATGTAATTGTCAGATTCTATGCATTTATTACATATTGTAAATGTTATGAAGAAGGAATTTCATTTGGTTGATCAAAATAAAATTTCACATTTTCATCAAAGCTTACTTCATTACCAATATTGATTATAAAAAAAGTTCCTATAAGAGCAGGCGGTATATCAGCTCATAATACATTTGATTATTTTATACTCTTTGATCTCCAATCTGCCTGAAATGGAAAACTTGATTGTTAATTCCTTTTTTCATTAACCAATATTCTCAGTAAGAACAATACATTGAGGTGACGAAAGCCATGGTATAGCATTATTCAAACATACAGATGGAAGTGGTATCGCATACAAAAGGTATAAAAGGGCAGTGCATTGGCGGAACCTTCATTTGGCCTCAAGGTACTCATCTGAAAAGGTTTCTGACGTGATTATGGGTGAACACAGGAATTAACAGACTTTGACGCGAAATGATAGTTGGAACTAGATGCTAAATGCTACGAAAATTAAGTGAAATGCTACAAAATGAAGTTTGTTCTCTTTCAAATGTTTAAATACCATATGACAAAATACAAATTAAACAATGAAATCAGGATATTTGCCTCTCTCGTCTAATATCGAACAAAACCTCGCCTTTCCGTTCTTTCCCTCAGTCGAGAAACTAACTTTGCCCTCATCGAATTGATCAAGCGAACTAGTGTTGAATATGCGATTTACACTCTGTACAAATATTATTACTGCTGGGCCGGCCGATGATGTAGTTGGAGAATAAGTTTCATATCGGCTTCGCACACGTGGCGAGCTCCGCGAGACCTTAATAGATAATCATAGACATAGAGAACAAGTTAGAAACCATACGAATACTGTGAAACAGAGGAAGTAATTTTCTTTGCTTTATTGAGAAATATTTTTTAAAAGAAATAATCGTTTCCTGAGATAGAAATCCCCTGCGAAATAAACGATTCTAGATATAACCAATGTTCTAAATAACAAATGTGTCTCAGGAAGATATTAAATTAACAGTAACCTTCGAAACTTTTCCACTTCTTACCATAAAGCAGTTTAAAATTGCTTGAGTTAATCTGATAATAGAGGTCAATCTACGAAAATAGTGTGCCTGGGCGCTGATGAGAGGGTTGAGTCTGGTTGAGGCGGTTTGAACGTCCGTATTTTCATCAAAAAATTAAAGTTGTGTCAAAACTTCCGGAATTAGAAACGAGAAAATAGTTTGATTTCACCATTCATCAGCAATTGTTTCAAACAGCATTTTTATACTTCAATTAATTTTGCAGAATATTGTGATAAAATTAACTGAGAAAACCGGAATAAATTAGTTTTGTAGTATACTATAAAAAAATTCTTCAATTTCTGATAAATTAATTTGCTAAACACTAAATTCTCACTTGCAGCTTTGGATCATATCTAAACTCACCATTTATTTTTCTCTATTGCTGTATCGTTCTCTCCCGGTTCTATTTCTTCACGTCTCTCTTCAGTTGCTTGTCTTCTACACACATCAAGGACGGTTTTGACGTCTTTAGACGTGAGCTTTTTGTACAGCTTCTCAAGAAAAGGCGCTGGAAATCCTCTGAGGGCGAGGAGGTCGCTCCGCGGGTCCAGCCCCTCCACAACGGCCGGGTCGAGGGTGGCGGGGTGCTCCAGGGTGCGGGGGAGGTCGAGGTGGGCGTCTCCCGGGACGGGCAGCGCCGCGCCCATCGCCGCCCCCCCGCGCACCAGGGCGCTCAGCAGGGCGCCGTCCACGTCCCCTCGCACGGAGCGCCACGAGGGCTCCAGGGCACGCAAGGGCACCGGACGACCCTGCACAGACACACGCTCTATGAGGCATTTCCCAGGGCTAGCCATCGTCACACTTATACAACTCTGAGCAGGGCGCCGTCCCCTCGCACGGAGTGCCACGAGGACTGCAAGTATATTAATTGACAAAAAACATACTGAGTAGGGATGAGGGCGATCTGCTCCCAATCATCGAAATCGAAATCAGTCAGTCGACTTAGACTACCGCGGCAACACGCCTACTCCGTAGTCAGGATTCTCCCTCTCGTGAAATTTGATACCTACTCCAGACTTCTACAGACTGACAGTAACGTCTATGCTACTTAATGACAAATGAGTAGATTCCATTGGTGATTACGAGTATTAAGAAAAAAATAGTGCGCCATGAGGTCTATCTGCGTCAATAAAGTTTTCACACGAATTTGAATGTTCTTTCTATGAAATTCCGTTGAACACATATAGAAACATAATTTCTGAATGCGCCTAATAAATCAAGTACTGACCTGGAGAAGGAGAGTCTGGTCCATGAAGGCCTGTTGCGCATCCAGTGTGAGGTGGCCCATCCTCCAGTCCTCCTCATCCATAGTCACACCGCCCCTTAAAAGGCCCGCGCCGTCCCCAGAGGAGACGGCGACCACCTTGACGCTGCAGCCGACGGCGGCGACCAGGGCCCGCGCCGCCGCCACCTCCTCCTCCGCGTCCAGCAGCAGGAGCTGCACGTGGCCGGTGCCGCACACGGCCTCCAGCGCGGCGCGCGGCAGCTCCCGCAACTGGCGGTCGCCCACGTAGGCCCAACGGCCGGCGAACGCCTCGTCTAGCACCTGGACGACCTTGGCCGCGCGGTGGCCCGCTGGCACGCCGCGCACCCTCACGCCCACCGCCCTCTGGCCGCCCCCCAGCGCCCTTCTCAGGGCGACGCAGTGCTCCGCTTGGAAGCGCAGCGCCCCGCCGCCAGCCGCCGCCCGCCCCTGCTTGGCCAGCTCCTCCACCACAAGCCACTCCACTTCCCCGGAGCGCTCTGTGAGCGGGGCGCTCCGCGTGTCGACCAGAGCCCACTTCTTGACGGTAGCGGCGTAGCAGGGGAGGAGGGACTCCCATCGCGGCAGCGGAGCTCCAAACACTCTGTCCAGTTCGTGTCTCATGAGCTCCATCAGGTCGTTCACGTGCGCTTGAGCAGAGAAGACGCGCAGGCGTGGAAGAAACTCTTGCTGGTATACCTCTTGTAGTGGATCGTTGTCATACAGCTTCCATACCTGCCTCGTATAATGCTAAATGTGAGTCATTTTAATTTACCATGAGTTTCACTGTATACTACTTGCTGCAATTTCATTAATGCAGTATGTTCCAAATGTATTTTCTATGTGATATAATGAAAAAAATCATTTTTATTCGTATGCAAAGAATACGAGTATTCAAACTCCGCATTTTCAGAAACGCTCAAACGCCAGTTTCTCGAAAACGGCTCCAAATTTTTTCTTCAAACATTTCGAACGGGTAGTGATAATTGCACTCTCTAATATGACGTAAAGTTAATTTCGGTGTATTTTTTTGTTTTTCAAAAATTACAAAAACGTACATTGTTTGAAAGATTTCTCAGCCTTTAATATTCACATTTCCCGCAATTTTAAACACTATTGTATTGTGAGTTAATGTACTGAAAATAACTTTATATTTTTTTTCGAAAACTCAAAAGTGTTCTGTGAAAAAGAGCTTCGAATTTACAGAAGCGCTTAAACGCCAGTATTTAAAAACGGGCCGAATGTTTTCAAATTGCCTTTTAGAACGAGAGTTTACTGTTCTTTAATAATCATAACATAATTCTTTCGCTTTACTATTAGGAAATCGAAAATTTAAGAAAATGTCAAAAAATGGACTTTGGCCGGTTATATATAGGAAAAAATATGTGGCAAGTTCGAATAGATAACTGAGACCAAAAGAAATAGAAAAGTAACACGGGAAAATCTCTGTCATTCTGTAGCACCACTAATTTTAAATAATTTCAAAATATTTAAATAAAAATGTTTAATAAACGATACCCCTTTTCAAAATTATTAGCATAATTCGATTTGATTTACACTTCCGCTGTTCCCATAATCGTGAATCAACGGCCACTTCCAATAACGGCTAATTTTGGCCGAAATTATTGACGGCGTATGAAGACAGGTTTCTCTGCTCATAAAATCCCTGTACTTCACTTTTATGATGAAATGGTTAACCGCAAAATTCAGTTTGAATTTATTTATATGAATTTAGTTTTAAGCCTTTATAGATGGAAAATAAGGAATGATAGTTTGTTGGCGTGACAGAACAGAACACTTTTTTTAGGTATTCTCCATAGTACTTCGTTTAAGAGTCATTATCTATTCTCTAAACTCTTTCCTTGTTTGCCATTATGTATTCTGCCCTTGAGTTTCAAAGCTTTGGGTCGTCCTGAGGAGTGCTACGTACCTCTTGGTCCCTGTAGCCGAAGGAGAAGACGGAGTTGGGTGTGGAGGTGTCGCTGGTGCGCAGGAGGTGCTCGTGTTGGAAGTGCAGGTGCGGGCCGTCGGCTGCCTCCTTGTGGCGAGCCACGGGGCGATTGGTGTAAAGCACCAGCCGCACGTCGTCCAAACAACAATCGTGCAGCAGCTCGTCGTCTTTCGTCTTCTTGCTGCTAAAAGTCGTGTGTTTGCTCTTGAAAATGGCGTAAAACTCAAAATACTTTCTTAAGCTGAAGTCGCCTTTTGCAGATGTGAAAGCCTGCACATGAGAGAAAATCAAAGATTAAAATATAAGATTAATATCATTGGTGGCCTTGACTTCAAAATATATTTATATGTGTGGTCAACTACGGAGCTGAACTAGTCATACTTGATCTGGATGAATGCCATTAGTAGCTTGGGCTCAAGAGTATTTACCTGCGTGGTCACCAGAGGAGCTGCACCAGTCGTGTTGGCGTGCTTGAGTTGGAAGAAGACGGTCAGTGGCTGCGGCTTCAGCACGCGCAGCACGAGATCGTCCATGGGATGCGCAGCGGCCACATTGGAGAACAGTTGAAACGAGAGGCCCCTGCTGCGCGCGCGCAGCGCCCACAGGCCGCCGAGGAAGATCTCGTATTCAGAACCGTAAGGCGTCGCTGCGCCTCTCAGTCGCTCTAAGACGGGAGCCTCGGCACTGAGACAATTGCCGCTACAGAACCTTCACACAAACTATAAGGCAGATAATACCTGCGTTTCCATCTTTTTCCTCTTACTTTAATAGAATGTCCAGTTGTGTAAAAAGTTGACAACACACCTTAACTTTTATATTTTAAATATGTACATATTTTTGTATTGAATCAAATAACTAACTGGTCGCCCGGCGCAACACCGAAGGTGTTCTGGCGGCGAAATAGCCGAAGAAAAGTTGAGAGAGCATTTTAATAGAAGCTGCAACGAAACATCACCTCTTCTATCAGTAGTTTTTTGTCAGACAAGAGTGTTCTGGAAAAGAGACGACACACAATTGACAAAGATTGTTACTTGGAGAAAGAATTAACGAGTATTGAAGAAATTCTCACAGTTACCGCTGTCCAAACGAAATTAAACCTTTCCTCACGAATTTCGTGGATTGTACGTCATGATTCAACTGCATCCAGTGCACCCTGGCACACCCTGAATCGAACCTTGAAGGCGTTCAAAATGTGTTTATTCAACTTTCGGCATTAGCTTGTGATGACAATGCGAGCAGACGTTTGAAGTAGAAAATCGGTGACTTCCTAGTTTCGACAATTGCAATTTCACGTGAGGCTGCCCACCAGGAGCTGGTGCGATCTTTCGGTAGCGCTCCGAACTAACAGGAAACAGCTGACAATCTACGTCAAGGAACTTTGTACGAAAGAAATGAGTATTTGGTCAACAGAGAAGAAATTTGCGCGGCTTTTTTGACAAAATCTCCGAAGCGCCAAGTTTGACATGAATAGTCCTTCCCTATGAAGCACGTTCAAACTGCCCTATTAAAAGACAAGGCGCCAAATTTGAAGCAAATTGGCAGTCAATGTGCCAACACAAGGAGACCTTGAGAAAACTTTTACTTCCTGTGGCACAATCCAAGTTGTCTCTATCGATTTTCAAAAGATTAAAACATTGTTGCCACTTCTAGGAATCGCCAGAAACCAGATTTGCAGACGAAAGTTTACTTCAATTTTGCCCTTGGTTTTACACTGTGATCAGTACTAACGGAATTGCCCCGAGAGCTGTTATCTGAAATAATACAATATTTACATTCGCAATAAACCCAAGGAGCGGACGTTCTAGATAAGAAAAGAAAAAAAGATACGAAAACTGCCCAAGTAATTTGGACGCAAAAGTATCTTTGAATGTGAAACGTGCATGAAGGTAATACATGTAATGTAGATAACATTCATCGTTTGAAACGATTGTGTGTAAAAATTGAATCCAGAAATTTACAGAAACATTCTTACATTTACATTTAACATGTACTAATGTTTACGAACGTATTTTGCAATAATCTCGTTTTGATATGGTTCTAAAAATCTATGTGTATTTAATGTAATCTGACCCACATTGGGCAAGCCATTGCGATGGTTCTCTGCGATTTATATTCATTGAATTATTTTTCACAATATGCATTTTATCAATAATAAAGAGTTATATTTAAGTTTTAGACTTACTTGTAAATACAATATTCTTTCACGACGTTGACAACACTGATTTTACCATCTTACGTGTTCCAGAGAATTACCAAATGTAATTACGAAAACTAGTTTGTGTACTGCACAAATAAGAATAGACGCATGAACGACGGAGTGAACGCAGCTATTCTTAAGAGTGCAAAAAAGTAACATTATAAACGAATTGCATACGCTATGTTTTGTATAACATAATTATAAAATTATTGCAAGGGTAAAATGGTTACTGAACCTGGAAGTGGAATGGTCCGTACATAATTTAGGCTAAGGCCGACTGTAATACGGGTGGCCGTCCTTGGCCGGAATGTTTATTGTTCGTTGAGAAATGGATTTACCAGAGGCAATAATTAATTAAGTTTCCAAAGCAGAATTGTCGCTAATACCTAGGAAAACAGCTGAAAATTATGAAAAATAATATGATAAATTTGAAACTTGGATGGATGTGAAAAATACGAATGGCATTCAACAAGTGTCGCATAACAATACATTGAGGAGTCAGTAGCTAATGAGGTTAGAATCGCCAGGATAATTGAATCTAGGGGAGAGACGTCAAACAAAGGCGAACCTTCGAAACCTCACTCTTCAAATGGAGTAACAGTTTCTAGAAGTTCTAGATTTTCTTTTACGGATGTTTCGAACTGTCCATTTCATTTTCATTATTAATAAGTGTTTAGACAAGTTAAATTAATGTTTCGTTGTGTTTCTTTTGTCGATTTGGAATTTTTGTTCTCTGGATTACGACTGAATAAAAACGCCGTACTCCCGGCAATTGTTTGATGACGTATGAACGAAATATTAAAAGAAGCTGACGAAGCCATGAAAATATTACTTCTTACGATAAGTTGTGATAGTTTTAAGAGAGAATACCATATGTAAAATATTTGAAAGTAAAAGCAAACAAAAAAACTAGTCTCTTTTGACACAATTTTGCAGTTGTTTTTAGAATGGTTGTGTTTAAACTACAGTTGTGTTTTTAGAAACAACTAGTTTATATGCTTTTTAGATTTGTAATGATAATACCAACTGATATATACTCTCTACCAAATGATTAACATGTAAAACATTTAATTTATTCGTGTTAAATATTTTATGTTACATTAGTCAGGTATTTTAACGTTTAGTTCACCCATTTAGTTTTATTCATTTACTGTTTATATCTAGTTTGTGCACGTAATCTGTGATGTACATTTTCGTTCATATTTCATGGCCGACTGTAAATACCTTGGCCACGTATGTTATAATGTCTTAATTACACAATTTTGATATTTTCTGAATGCTGATCGGTAGTTGTGGGTTTTAATTGTGCGATATAGTATTAATTGAACGCCTGATATTAACAGAGAGATAATCTACGATTTGTCATGAAAATGATGAACACATTTAATTAACTAAACGAAAAAAGTATGTTAAAAATAAAACTAAATTTTTCCCCACTTACCTCGAATATGATGTACTCGCCATTTTATCTAAAAAAACAACAACAAAAAGTTTATTTCAAGCGTTATATTTATTTTCATCATTATGCTTACTACAGGAACTAGTGATCACGGTTCAAAATGTGTAGATTGAGGGAGAGAAGAATTGTACGACTAACCTAATCCGTTGATTATCTGTCGTTCAGTTATTTTCAGCGTCCCACTTGGTGTAATTATCATGTTCGCCTCACCCCTCTCGGGGTCTCTTCGAACGGTGGGCGTTTTTGGCGGGTTTTTGTTGTGGGGTTATCGACTACCCCGTACAGGACGGGGATCGGGAGTCTGGGTTGTTTGTGGAGGGGTTAGTTTTTTGGTGGAGAGAAGGGTTATTTTATTAGGGTTCTGGATGACGGGGGGGAGGGGGAGGATTGGGATGGGGTGGGGTGGGTATTTTCATGTTATAACGTTATAAGAAATACTCATATAGATAAAATACTCCTTTGCATAGATGGATGGACTCGTACACCATACTCACTACAACTCGTTTCCTTGTTTAATTCCTTTCGAACATCACTTGAATCCTTAATAGCCGCCAGCTGGAATGTGAATCGAGGTTACTATTGTGTTATGTCACAATAGCGTTATTTCCAGGTATTTTGAAAAGTATATGTCACAGTAAGGGCGGCATGGGGGCCATTACCCCTCCCCAAAAGGCCAAGAGTTTTCGTATTTTTCCTTCCGTTCTTTGACAAAATTTATTTAAATATTTATTTATGTTAGAATAATGTAATTAATGACAAATAATATTGTATAGTATCATATATGTATGTACTTGGCGCGACAGCCCGTGAACGGGCTCAGGCCTACCGGAGACGTCCCTGCCTCGCGGCCATGGGTTAAGGGGGTATGTGTGGATAGCACGTAGACATCCCCACGCCGTATTCCGATCTTCGCAGCCTGAGAAGAGAATTTTCTCGTCTCACAGCAACGTATACTGGGACATTGCCTGGACAATGCACACTATAATCTTGCCTCACCGGCAATCGAACCCAGGGCCGAGCGAGCACGTTGACCAAAAGTTAGCCACGAGGACAGAGTATCATACACACGCAAATAATTATATATATATATATATATATATATATATATACGATTGATTCACTTGCTGGTAGACCCGACTTGATCGACTTGGCTGGAGTCGTCCCCACTGAATCGACTTGCTAGCGGTGGATCACTTGATCAACTTGTGCGTCGATCCTCACTTGAATGACATTGCTGGTCGATCTCCCCACTTTATCGACTTGCTCTGTCTCCAGTCGACTTGTTGTCGATCCCTCACTTGATATGCGGCCACATTCGTCTGCTGGGTTAGATCATCCCACTTGATCGACTTGCTGGTTCGATCCCCACTGATCATCTTGCTGGGTGACACTGACTTCGGCTCCTTACTTGATCGACTTTGCTTGGTGATCCCCCACTTTGATCGACTTGCTCCTGTCGATCCACCCACTTGATCGACTTGCTGGTCGATCCCCTCCATGATCGACTTGCTCTGGATCGATCACCCACTTGAATCGGAGCTATGCTGGGTGATTCCCACTGCATCGACTTCTGGCCCCTACTGTCGATCGGTCATTCATCCACTGATCGACCTTGCTGGGTGTCGAATCAGCCACTTGATCGACTGTCGGTCGATCCTCACTTGATCGACTTGCTTGGGGCGACCCACTCATCTATCGATCGACGTTGCTGGGTATCGATCCGCCACTTGATCATCTTGCTGGGTCGATCCACCCACTTGATCGACTGTGGGTCGATCCAACCCACTTGATCGACTGCACGGTCGATCACT